CAAAATCTTCGAGGCCTACTGGTTCCTGGGCCAGGCGGGCAGCTCCATCCCTGCCACCTGGCCCCGCTCCTATGACACCCGCTACAACCAGGAGACACCCATGGAGATCTGCCTCAACGGGACCCCTGCCCTGGCCTATCTGGCGGTGAGTCCCAGCTACACGCATGCCCGGGACCACAGACCATGATGCGTGGCCTCCATCAAGTTCAGACGGGGGAGTGGATCCCTGACCATCCTCCCTGACTGTCCACCCTTAGCTTCATCCATCTAAGAAATGGGTTTGTGGAGGTTTTCCACCTCTTCCAGCTTTGGTACAGCTGGGTTAGGGGCACCGAGCTCACTGTGTGCCAATGTGACCACAGGCAGCTCCATCAACTGGAATGAAAATCCCAGAGTGGCAGCCACTGGCTTGCTGTGGCTGCTGGATGGGTCAGCACAGGCAGCCACAGTTACTGTCCCGGGGGAGCACCATGCTGGCTGATGCCCGTTGCTAGTGCTTGATGCTCCAGACAGGCTATACTGGTGTTAGTTACTGGGGGTTTCTCAAAGCAGGGATGCCCCAAACCTCACAGAGGCACCCCAGAAGGGGAGCACCCTTCACCGAGGTCTTTGGCAACAAAGCTGTCCCCTGGGATCCCACCTGCTGAGCCTCTGTGTTTGTCCCGAGAGGCCTGGGGAGCTGAGCAGGGAGCCTGCTGTGGCAGCAGGTCCCCGAGAAGCCCAAGGTGGGAAGGCAGCAGATGCAGAGCCGAGGGGCTCAGTGCATCTGGAAGCCTCGTCAGAACCCAGGTCCCAGGGTAAAGCAGTGCTGACATCTCAAGATGAGTGCCAGTTCCAGTCCCCACTGCTCCATATCCAATCCAGCTTTCTGTTAAGGTACCTAAGAAAGCAGTGGAGGATGGCCGGAGTACTTTGGGCCCTGCCATTCATGTAGGTGACACAAGAGAAGTTCCTGGCTTTGACCTGGCCCCGGCCCAGCCCTGGCTGTTGTGGCCATGGGAGCCATGAGGCAGTGAATGGAATCTCTGACTCTTCCCATCTCTCTAATTTGGCCTTTGAAATAAAGACAAAAACCCTGGTTCCACGGCCTGGCACAGTAGCATAGCAGCTAAAGTCCTCGCCTTGCGCACCTGAGATCCCATATGGGTGCCATTTCTAATCCTGGCAGCCCCACTTCCCATCCAACTCCCTGCTGGAAAAGCAGTTGAGGACGGCCCAAAGCCTTGGGACCCTGCACTCACATGGGAGACCCAAGGCTCACATGCTCCAGGCTCCTGGCTTCGGATCGGCGCAGCACTGGCCATTGAGGCGAATCAGTAGACAGAAGATTTTTCTCTTTGTCTTTTCTCCTCTCTGTGTAGAGTCAGGATGCCCTGTGCTATGAGGCCCAAGAGTTTGCCTAAGTTCCCCGGCAAGGCTGTAGGTGCTGGACAGAGACTGGCAGCTGGATACCACAGCTGAGAGTATAGATCCTGGAACCAAAACACCTGAGGCCAGACCTTGGATCCTGTTACAAGCTGTGTGGCCTTAGGCAGGACGGTGACCCTCTCTGGGCTGTAATCTGTAGAGCAGCCTTAGTCTTTGTTCCTTTCCTTCACTGGCTCTTCTGTGACAATCCCCCTGGTAGTACATGTGTCTGTTTTGTCCATCCATATTGGAAAGGCTGAGTGACACAAAGAATCTCCCCTGTGTTGGCTCACGCCCAAAATGACCAGGTCTGGACCTGAAGCCACAAGCCTGGAACTCCATCCTGGTGTCCCGCGTGGGTGGCAGGTGCAAGTACTTGGTCCGTTTTGGTCCATGGTCTTCCCCAGAGGCTTTTTTTTTTTTTTTAAGATTTATTATCTTATTGGAAAGTCAGAAATCCAAAGAGGAAGAGAGACAGGAAGATCTTCTGTCCACTGAGTCACTACTCAGGTGGTCACAATGGCCAGGAGCTTCCTCCAGAAATCCCACGTGGGTGCAGGCTGCCAAGGCTTCAGGCTGTCCTCTAGGTGTGCTTTCCCAGGCCACAAGCAGGGAGCTGGATGGGAAGTGGAGTTGCCGGGACACGAACCAGTGCCCATATGGAATCCTGGCACTGGCAAGGCGAGGACTTTGGCCACTAAGCTACCGTGCTGAGCCTTCCCCAGCGTTTCAATGAGGTGTTGGATCCAAAACAGAGTCTCAGGAACTAGCGCCAGTGCCCAGCTGGTGGCTGCAGCTCAGTGCCATCCCCCTGTGGTGTGTCTTGACCAACCCCTTACCTTATATCCCTCACCCCAGAGTGCTCCCCCGCCACTGTGTCCAAGTGGCCGCACCCCAGACCTGAAGGCGCTGTTAAACGTGGTGGACAGTGCCCGGAGCTTCATCTACATTGCTGTCATGAACTACCTGCCCACCATGGAGTTCTCCCACCCGCGCAGGTACGGCTGGGCAGGTGGCAGAGTGGAGAAACAGGCAGGCAGGGGGCTTAGGGGACTCGGCGGGGGGGGGACGGGGAACAGGACACTTCATACAGGAAAGGGGAATGAGACTAAGAGGGACAGACAAGGATAAGGATAGCGGGGCTGGGGACAGAGGCAGGACACGCAGGATAAGGAGTTTGGGGGCAGGGCTAGACTTGGGATGTGGGGTGCCAGAGGGACGGAGCTAAAGTTTTTGAGTATACCGTGGCAGGGCTGGGGGTTGTGATTGAGGCTGAGAAGGGGGTGATGGGGTGTGGGGCTTGTACAAGGTAGAGGGACCGGAAAGCCAGCATCAGGAGGGGATGGGCCCAGGCATGGTTCCCCAGAGCGGAGACCCCAGCCATGCCCTGCACCCTGGCGCAGGTTCTGGCCGGCCATCGATGATGGGCTGCGGCGGGCTGCCTACGAGCGCAATGTCAAGGTGCGCCTGCTGGTCAGCTGCTGGGGCCACTCAGAACCGTCCATGCGCGCTTTCCTTCTCTCCCTGGCGGCCCTGCGTGACAACCACACCCATTCTGACATCCAGGTGGTAAGAGCTGTCATCCCCCCACAACCTCCCCACACACCCCTTCCCAGGACTGTGATCTGAGAGGTAGGTCCCGAGTGGGCAGGGCCTTGGAAAGGAAGTCCCAAGCTGGGGGGTTGGGGTGGCACAGGCTGGGGAGACAGCTGCCTCACATGGCCTGAGGGGCAAAGGGAAGGCTTTTCTGGAAAGGGAAGGCTTTTCTGTCTGTGGTGGTGCCAGGAGCTCCATGCTAGCCTCGGAGATTTCAGCATCCCAGAGCCCTGGACCCTGGGCCTCCCCACCTACCTCCCACCCTGCATCTCACACTCCTTCCGGTCCTCCCCTGCCCCCAGAAACTCTTCGTGGTCCCCGCGGATGAGGCCCAGGCCCGGATCCCGTACGCCCGCGTCAACCACAACAAGTACATGGTGACTGAGCGTGCCACCTACATCGGTGCGTGCTGGCCACTCCTGGGGTGGGCAGACGGGAGAAGTAGTGGGGTGTCCAGGCCTCCAGGGAGGGGACCCATCACCACGTGCACCATCCCCCTTCTCCACAGGAACCTCCAACTGGTCTGGCAGCTACTTCTTGGAGACCGCAGGTGCCTCACTGCTGGTGACGCAGAATGGCCGTGGAGGACTGCGGAGCCAGCTGGAAGCCGTGTTCCTGCGGGACTGGGACTCGCCTTACAGCCACGACCTCAGCACCTCAGCCGACAGTGTGGGCAACGCCTGCCGCCTGCTCTGAGGCTCCCTGGGGGCCCTGTGCCCACACCCCTGCTTCTCTGTGTCCTGGAGTACCTCCACAGGCTCACCCCACCCCACACTCCTGCCTCAACCGCTGTCCCCGCCGGCCTGATGCGGTGGCCCCAGGACCCAGCAGGGCTGGGGGAGGGATCAGCCCCCGAAGAAGTGGGGGTGCATGCTGGGCCCGGCTCCCGGACCCATCCCCCCTTTTCAGGGCCTGTGATTATAATAAGTAAATAACTTGTCTGTACAGCCTGTGGCCTGAGTGATGTGCAGTGGGTGTCACAGATAGCAGACAGCTGGCATGGGCCTCTGGTGGGAACACTGCAGTGCGTGTGACCACTGTGCCTTGGTATATACTGAGCCTGTCCTGTGATCCTCCAGTGCTGAGCCCTCAGCATGTGACCACTGTGCCTTGGTATGTACTGAGCCTGTCCCCTGTGGTCTTCATGTAATAAGCCCTCAGCATGTGACCACTGTGCCTTAATACATACTAAGGCTACATCCTGTGGTCCTCCAGTGCTGAGCCCTCAGTACATGATCCACACCTGTATTGAACCCTCATCTTCCAATGCCTGCAGGCTGGCATGGACTGAGCACTTGGGTCCCAGCATGGGGTGGGAGGAGCTGCCCCCCTAAGCATGTTCTCAACCAGATGAGCATGGACTGAGCCGTCACTGTATCCCCAAGAGGACCTGTGTGTTTGAACACAGGAGAATGTGCCCAGCATGACTTCATAGCCGCCAAGTGCACTGACAGCATGTCCTAAGAATGGATGGGTACATGTAGGAGGTACGAGGCAGCAGCAAAACCCAACATTAGGTAAGCTCTAAGGAACATGTGCGTGCTGGGCACGTGGAATGTTCTAGATGCTCCAGACACTCAGCATATTTTGGTTCGTGTGGCCTTTACCTCCTCCTGCAGTCTCCAGCCTATGCCAATGGCTTCCTGGGCACAGCATCGTGGGGCCTGGCTCTGGGTACCAGCCCTCCACTTTGGCCTTGAACTGGCCCCGGGCTAGGGCCAGCAAGGATAAACCGAAGCAAGGCCGCAGAACAGTTCTTTATTGAAACAAGCAGAGGCAGCTGGGGGCAAGCTCACGGCCACCAGGGTGTAGCCACCTGGCTGCCAGCCCTCAGGCCAAAGGGGCTGTGGGCCAGACGCCAAGGCCCAGGCGAGTGCTTGGGGGAGGGGAGCGTTGTGTGCAGGCATGCACGGGGCTCGGGGTAAGGGGCAATTCTGGGAAACTATCTTTGTGTAAGAATAATTTGTACGATGAAGAAAAATGGACTCAGAGGCCAGCCCAGCTAACGCAGCCCGCAGCGAGGAGCGGGGGACGGAGTGGGAGGGGGCAGTCTCTATCAGTGATGCCCGCCAACATGCTGCAGAAAACTGGCAGCCCGAGGTGGGCCATGCTGGTGGGGGTGGCGTGGTGGGAGCCCCTGGGCCCGTGGCCCCCTGATGCCTTCCAGTGTCCAGTCGGTGTTGCTCAACCATTCTCCAGGACAGCTGCTGGGCTCAAAGAGCTCCAGGCCCGACCTCTGTGGGGGGAGGATGAGAGAACATGAGTTGGGTGGGGGCAGTGCATCAGCCAAGAGGAGTCTGTCTGCCAGTCTTTACTTAGCCTGCCAGGCTTTAACACTATGAAAGAGGTAACTACTGCATGCCCAGGTTTGCAGCAGCCTGCAGGTAAGTCAGAATATGCTGGGCCCTAGTACACAGTTAAGGGTGTAATAGTGGGTGGGGTGTTGTGGGCAGGAGAGTAGGCAACCCCCTATCCTGAATATGGGTTCCCATATGCTGGGCCACTAGGGCTGGCTACAGCTCTAGGGGAGGCCTTGGGCCCAGCAGCAGCCCAGCGCGGCCTGGAAAGCTGGCCTCCCGTTGTGGCTTACCTCGGCATCCATGGCCATGTCCTTGATGCTTGGCCCATCCCCGTCCCGCTGCAGGATGGCTGGTGGCTCAACCGAGGCCCCGTGGTGTTCGCCCTCCTCCCAGCCGCTGCCCCGGCAGGGCTCGTCATCCTCTGGGGAGGTCTGGCTCAGGCGGATGAGGTTGCTGAAGTTGGAATCGGACTTGGAGCCCACAGGCAGCTTGCGGGCCTTGTGGCGGCTGGCCAGGCGGCTGCCATAGAAGGCCAGGATGGGTTCAGGGCCCACATCGGGCATGTGGCAGCCAGTGGTGGCAGCCTTGAGCGGGGCCAGCATGTCAGGCACGACCACGTCAGTGTGGGTCTCACCCCATAGTCCGCGACCTGCCTCCTGCAGGCTCAGGTCATCCAGCTGGTCAATGGCCCGCTGGACGCCTGGTGCCTTCTCCTCTCGGAAGAAGGACCCACTGCTGGCCACACTGCCTCGGCCTATGGCCACCTCCTCCTCTTCCTCCTCTTCCTCCTCCTCGGCTAGGCGGTAGTAGGGAGGGCCCTCCTCGGCTGTGGCTGGCAGGGGCGGCTTGCCTTCCACCTGCAGTGAGAGGCGGCGGCTGCGCAGGGACAACTGGTAATAGCGGGTGGACTCGTGGGCGCTGCGCAGCTGCTGCATGGATACGAAGGGGTGACGCAGGGCTGAGCTGGGGCTGATGCGCTCATGTGACTCCCATGTCAGCATGCGCTTGATCAGCTCCACCATGCTCCTGAGGTCAGCCAGCTCGGCCAGCGCCTCGCGGTCTGGGAAGTTTAGACGACCCAAGGCCCCACCGCCATTCACCGTCTCGATCTGGTCCAAGGATTTGAGCATGTACTTGCGGCGCTCCAGCGGGCGCACCTGGCGAGGCAGGGGAGCAGGCACACAGGGTTAGCGCATGCCCAGGTTGGTGCCACCTCTGCCAGCACCCAGCAGGGTGGCTACTCTGACTTGGCATGTCAATGGTAGATCCCTTTTGGTCATTGCAACCTCTGCATCCAGACCCACCCCTGCATCACCTCAGCCTTCTAGGGCCAAATAAGACCCTTCTTGCTGTGCTAGTCAGCAACTCTCACACCCACCTTTGGTCTCTGCCACCTCTTGCTAGGAGAGATTCCCTAGCTGACTTCCAATTTCCAGTGCCCTGCTGTCTATCCTCATGCTGCACGTGTTACTGACCTCAGAGCTGAGGCTGACAGAGGAGCTGCCCATCATCTTCCCAATCCCTTCTAGATCCCCTGTAGCCCTCCAAGCTATAACGGACTCCCCACCTCCACACGGCCTGCCATTCCTACCTTGGTCTCAGCCAGGTAGTCAGCGGAGGACTTGAGCTGCCAGGGGTTGGCGGCATCAGGGTGGGCACTGCGCTTGAAGAAGTGGTGGGCCTTGCGGGCAGCATGCAGCAGGTGTGGCTTAGGCAGGCCCTGGGTCTCGCAGATGTAACGCACCTGGTCGTACTCATTGTTGCCCGGGTACAGGGGCCAGCCCAGGTGCAGCTCAGCCATGACGCAGCCCAGGGACCATACATCCACCTTCTCACAGAAGGGCAACCCCAGCAGGATCTCGGGGGCCCGGTAGAAGCGCGACTGGATGTACGGCTCCTTCACGTAACGCACCTCGCTGAAGATGCTGGCCGAGCCGAAGTCGATCACCTGCCATGTGGGGAGGGACTTGAGTGACAGGCATGGCCCAGCTCGTGGTTCTTCCCTGGCATCTGTGGGAATCTTCATCTCTCGCTAAGGCCCTAGCTCCGCCTGCTTGACCTTTCTGCAGGCCTGAGCTGGGGCGTAGGAGGGTTTGGCCTGTCCTCTCTTTCACCCTCCTTCCCCCGTAGCTTCTCCATCTGCAACTCTGGCTGGCTCTACCTTTCAAACAGACCCTGAACTGCCCTGCTGCCTCCATCCACTGCCCCAGGCTGGTGCCAGCCCCCCACTTCTCTCCCATCCAGAGTAGCACAGGGGCTTCCTCACTGTCTACCCACCTCCCTACCCTCCAGGCTGCCCCTCCTCATACGCCTGTGGCCACTTGGGCTGCACCTCCTCCCTCCTCTGCTCACATCCACAGCCTGAGATAGAAAATGAAGTCGGGAGGGAGGGTGGCATCTGGCACAGTGGTGAAGACCCCACTTGTGACACCCACTCCCTCGTTGGAGGACCCAGGCTTGAAACACCTGGCTGCATTCCTAATTCCGGCTTCCACAGCAGGTGACAGCTGAAGTGGGAGGGTCCCTGTCATCCTCAGGTAGGAGATCCTGGGTCCTGACTTCAGGCTGACCTAGCCCTGGCTATTGTGGGTATTTGAAGGGAAAACCAGTGTCCTTCTGTCTCTCTGCCTTTTAAATAAAGAAATAGAATAAGTCACAAGCCATGGAGCGGCGTGGGGTAATGGGATGGTAGGGTTAGCCACACTCTCCACGTTGGAGCAGTTACTTCCGATTCCAGTTGCTCTGCAGTTCAGATCCAGTTCCCTGCCTGAGCTCCTGGGAGGCCGCAGGGGGCAGCCAAGGTGCTTGGATCCCTGCTGCTCATGTGTCAGAGATCCAGGTGGGACTTCCTAATACCTGGTTACGGCCTGTCCCAGTCCTGGCTGTCACAGGTATTTGGGGTGAGGGTTGCAGGGTGGGAGTAAACTAAGGGATGAAAGAGCTCTTCCTCTCTGTAACTACACCTTTCAAATAAATAACACATCCATAAATATTTTTTTTTTAAAGCTCTAACCATTTAGAACCAGCCCAGTCCTCACAGACCAATCTGCCTCTGCCCTCAGCTGCTGCCTCTCTGGCTCTACGCCCCGTCCTCCCGTCTTACGCCTCCTGTCCACGCTGGCCTCCTCACCAGCCCCCACATGAGCCAGCCCAGGGCCTTGGCACTGGCTGTCCCCTCCAGCCATGAGCCCATGACCCTTTCCATCTTTCCCTCCCTCCCTGGCCCATACCCTCTCACATGCCACCTGCTTCACTGTATAACCAAGGTCATTGTCTGTCTCCCCAGTTAGAGCTCAGTCCCAGCAGGATGGGAATTCTGCCTGTCTCCTTCCCTCAGTGGGGGCACCTGCAGTGCCTGCCTGGCACACTGTCAGAGCTAGGAAAGAGTAGATGGGTGCACGGGACAGGCTTCCAGCCTAGAGGGTGAGGCACCAGCAGAGCAGCCCCATGCCCAGGCTGGCCTTGAGCACAATAGGTTGTGCCTCTGCCTCCAATGCGGCTGTCTCATTCAGCAAAGTGAGATTTGAGACTCAGTTGCTCCATTTCCTATCCAGCTCCCTGCTAACGTGCCTGGGAAAGCAGCAGAGGATAGCCCAAGTTCCTGTATCCACGTGGGAGACTCCGAGTTTGTAGCTGCAGACTTCAACCTGACCTTATTCCTAGCTATGGTGGCCATTTGGGTAATGAGCCAGCAGGTGGAGTCTCTCTCTCTGTCAGAGAAGCCACCATAGACAGCCACACTGACCTTGACCCTGAAGGGACAGCGCGTCTGGTCCACCAGCATGATGTTCTCAGGCTTGAGGTCAGCGTGGATGATGGCCAGCTCCTTGAGGCGTGCCAGGGCCCTGAGCACTTGCAAGGTGACGGTGCGGATATGGCGGGCAGGGAGGGGTGCAAAGTTGTTCTCCTTCTGGAATTCAAAGAGGTTCTGCTCCAGCAGCTCAAAGACCAGGTAGAACTTGAGGGCGTCGTGGAAGAACTCGAGGAAGCGGATGACGTGGGCCTCCTCGGGGTCCAGGCCCCGCATGCAGCGCAGCAGTTTCAGCTCGTTCTTGATGATGCGGTTGCGGTAGGCGTCGTTCTTCAGGATCTTGATGGCCACCATCTCACCCGTGCTGCGGCGCCAGCCCTTGGCCACCTCCCCGAAGGTGCCCTTGCCCAACACCTCAATGATGTCATAACAGTCCGTCTCCGACTGGATGGTAGCCATGGTGCCCCCGTTACGGGACGCTCCCCTGCCTGGGAGACTCTCCCCACAGACTCTGCGACCAAGGCCTCTCGCCGCTGTTGCCGCTGCGCCACCAGCCTCCCAATGTGGCAGAGGAAGAGAACAGAACTCGTGCCTCCTCCTTCTCTGAGATTGGGTTCCACTTCCCCGGCACCCTCAGGCCTCCTGGGTCACACAGCAAGTCTGCCAGGGGCTGCAGCCCTCTCCCAAAGCCCTCCCGGCTTGGGATGAGGGGCCCCAGACCCCCCAGCGTTACTGAGTAGCTCTGGTTCTGTTGTTAGAGACCTGAGCTCCTGGCTAGAATGGGGGGGGTAGGGTGCCAGGCAGGGCCCCTCCCCCACCCAGCGGCGGAACCCTGGAGAGGTGAGAGGTCAGCAGGGAGGGGAGCCTGATTGTGGACATCGGCCTACAGGAGTGAGAACAGACCCATGGGCAGGAGCGGGGCACAGTGTGTGTGGTGTGTGTATGAGTGTGTGCGTGCCCACACATGTAGGCATGCCCCTGCCCCACAGCTGCCCTGGGGGAGGGATGGCTGGGATAAGTGCCGGAAGTTTGGACTTCGCCCTGAGGATACCAGGGAACCACAGAAAGGCTCTGGCAAGGGCAAAAGTGAAAAAAGCAGGACAGGAACTAGAGGGCAGGTGGAGGCAGTGGATTAGTGAGACACCTGGCAGGGCAACTACGTGACAAGGCTTTGAGTCCCCAGGAACAGGGTTCCTAAGGGGACCTGGAGGAAGAAAAAAGGCTGAGATCACACAGGATCTGTAGCATTAAAATGTTTCAAGGTGTGTCTGGAAGACACAATCAAGGCACAAAGCAGCATAAAGATGGGGCCAAGCCAGTGGCTCAACCAATACCTGTTAGCACCAGCATCCCATATGGGTATCAGTTTGTATCCCAGCTGCTCCACTTCCCATCCAGCTCCCTGCTTGTGGCCTGGGAAAGCAGTCCAGGATGGCCTATGGACTTGGAATCCTGAACCCGTGTGGGAGACCTGGAGGAGGTTCCTGGCTCCTGGCTTTGGATCAGCTCAGCTCCAGCTGTTGCAGCCGTTTGGGCAGTGAACCAGCTGAAGGAAGATTTTTCTCTCTTTCTAATTTTCAAAGAGAGAGAGATAAAATCTTAAAAAAAAAAAAAAAAAAGTCTAAAGGTGCCCAATGCAGGGGGAGGCACGTGTACTGGGGTGAAGATGCCCTCAGGATCCCTGTGCGATGTCACAGTGTTTGGCTTTGAATCCTGTCTCTGCTTCTGATCCAGCTCCCCGCTCATGTGTACCCTGGGAGGCAGCTTGTGACAGCTCCTAGACTTGGGTCCCTGCCACCCAGCCAGGAGATCCAGATTGAATTTGGGGCTTCTGGTTTTTCATGGCTTAGCCCCGGATACTGTGGACCTGGGGGAGTGAACCAGCAGCTGCAAGATATCTCTCTCTCTCTCTCTCTCTGCCTTTCAAATCAATACAAAAATGTTGATGTTCCAGGCCCAGCACAATAATGTAACAGCTAAAGACCTCGCCTTGAATGCACCGGGATCCCTTACAGGCACCAGTTCTAATCCCAGGCGCTCCACTTCCCATCCAACTCCCTGCTTGTGGCCTGGGAAAGCAGTGGGGTACGGCCCAAAGCCTTGGGACCCTGCACATGTGTGGGAGACCTGGAAAAAGCTCCTCGCTTCAGCCATTGCGGCCACTTGGGGAGTGATCCATCAGATGGAAGATCTTCCTCTGGCTATCCTTCTCTCTATATCTGCCTTTCCAATAAAATAAATAAATAAATCTTTAAATTTTTTTTGAAGTTCCTAAGTTACCAGTTGCCTGCAAAAGACATATTTTGACCTTGAAACACCTCTGATCCCAAAAACTTGTGCCCAGCAGACATCTGATGTGTGATGGAGGAACCCCCCAAGAAGGCTGTTGCACACCCAGGCAGACACTGGAGGGAGTTGGGGAGTTGCCAGCGCACAGAGGAGGTGTGGGGGCCACAGGCGAGCGTGGCACAGCCCAGGGAGAGTGTAGGGGTGAAGAACCCTCAGAGAAGCCCTGAGGGCCCACAGTGCAGCAAGGGAGGCAGAGGTGAGTGTCTGGGAGAAACAGGGGCCCTGAGCTGTCAGGACCAGCGAGACAGAGGACATCCTCTGGTATGGCCACTGAGAGGCCACTGTCACTGCTGGGACAGCCTGGGTGGAGCGGGGATGAGTGGAGAGAGAGGAACGTCCCAGGAGCCAGGGACCCCAGAAGGGCACAACGTGCTAAAGAGAACAGGGGTTGCTAGGGAGCCTTGGAACCACACAGTGCAGCATGTGTGTTGTGGGCTGCAACGTTTGGACCCTGGGTCGGGAAGGGGCACAGCCTGGGGACCTTGGAGCCACAGCGCCACACTGATGGGAGGTGGGGATGCTGAGACGCTGAATCGTGGCCCCAAGACAGCAGGGGCGTGAAATTGGAGGCTCTGAACCCGTGATCCTGGGACAGGGACCAGGAGGGCTTTCCTGGGTGGGGCCCCAGTGGCCAGGGCAGTCGGACCAGTCCAACAGGAAAGGGAAGGCCATGGGGCCCCTCCCTGGCAGAGCACAAGTGCAGAGCAGTCATCAGGGATGGGGGTGGGGGGGCGGGGGTCTCTCAGGACAGGCAGTCCCCCAAACCCATCCCAGCAGAGGGATCCCCCAGAGTCCTGCTCTCACCAAAGGTTGTCTGAGAACTGTGAAGGCCTGGGCCTGGACCACCTCTCACAATAGGAATTGACCTCCACCCCACCCCCCTGGGGGGCTAGGCTGAAGTGTACCCCTGCACCTCCTCTTTGGGGGTTCCATTCTCTGCACCTCCTGTCACTGCTCCCCTCTCCCTGCCCCATGCTCCCAACACGGGAAACAGCACACACAGCCACGTCTGATTATTTTATTCACATGGCCTGGCTCAAAACAGGCACCTGCCAGGCAGATGGGCATGGGCTTCCTGCCCCACCCTCTTGGAGTTAGTGCTAGTTAACCACACACAAATAGGAATGGGGATAGGAGGTGAGAGCATAGGAGGCTGGGTGCCAGGGTTTCAGACAGCAGCAGCCTGAGCCCCCTCCAGCCGGGTGGGGCCCGGAGCCCCCACCTCAGAAAACCCCACACTGGGCAGCCGGACTCGGAATCCACCCTCCTCCCGATCCTCACTCCCGCTCCGGGCCTTAGGGCTTAGGGACACCCTGGGGAATCGAAACTTGGGTGACTTCTCCCCTACAGGAGACTTGGCAGGCACCTCGCCTTCCTGCCCCCTAGAGGCCTTGGAAGGGGACACCAGGCCCACTCGGGGCAAGCGGACCCGTCCCCGGCCCTGGCGCCCCTCCTCCTCCTCTTCCTCCTCTTTTGGGCTGGGTGAGCCCTCCCTGCCAGCTGGCTCACTTTGGCTGAACCCCACACGGGGCAGCCTGAGCTTGGGACTCTTGGTTTTCTCACCCTCCTCCGCCCCCTCCCTGGCCCTCGTCAGGCCCAACTTGGGCAGCCGCACCTTGAGCTTGTGGCCTGTATCCCCATCGCCCTCTGTCACTTGGTACTCAGCGTGGCTGCCCACAGCTGGCGGTGACAGTTCCACATCAGGCAGTAAAAGGCGGAAGGTGCGCTCAGCCCCTGGGGCCTGGTCCTCAGTGCCCTGTCCCCCAGCCTCAATTCCGGTCCCCAGGGTGGGCGATTTTAGCCTCAGGCCACCCTCACCCATGGCTACCTCCCCAGCCTGTGCCTCATGGCCCATGCCCACGTCCAGCTCAAGCTGGGGCACTGACACAGCGGGCATCTTGAAGATGCCCTCGCCCACCAAAAGCTCGCCTCCTCTCGCCTGGGCCCCAGGCAGCGCCAGACTCACCTGAGGCCCCTGGATCTTGTAGCCTGCGGTGTCCTGGTCTATAGGGGCTTTATCCTCAACCTGTTGCCCCGGGGTACCCACCTCCCCAAAACCGGTCAGCTCAACCTGGGGCAGTGAGATGCTCAGTGGGGGTATTCTCAGCTCGCCCTGGTGGCTTTCAGGGACTGCCTGTTTGATGGTGGACACCTGCGTCCCACTGACAGCAGCTGCCCCTCCCGCCTCCTGGGTCCCCAGTGTAACTAGCTCCACCTCTGGGATCTTCAGCTGTCCCGTGATGGTCTCCAGCTTCTCCCCGGGGCTGCCACGTGCAGCCTGAGCCTCAGCCTCCCGACCTCGAGCCAGCCCAAAGGACGGCATCCTTAGCTTGGGCATCTTCACCTTCCCGTCCCAGCCCCAGCCCTTGGCTTCCAGCTCTGCCCCTCCTGGCGCCAGCTCCCCTGCCCCCGTGTCCCGACCTCTGACCCCAAATTTGGGCAGAGCAAACCTAGGCCCTTTGAGCTTGCCGTCAGGCCCTGCCCCCTCCACCTTGCCCGCTGGCGGATGGGCATCCAGCCCAAGCTGTGGGATGGACAGGTCGAGGGCGGGCAGCAGGCTTGCCTCTCCTTTGGTCTCCGACTCTGTCCCCGCCTTGGCCTTGGGGAGCGAGATGGCGAACTTGGACACCTTCAGCTTGCTGGCTCGCCCGGCCCCTTCGACCTCTGCCTTGGCCACCTTGGGCCCCGAAAGTCCAAACTTAGGCAAGGAGAACCTGGAGGAGGACCTGCCTTTCATCTCTGGGGTCCCTGGCCGCCCCTCTTCCACCTGGGCTGCTGTGGGCAGCTGCGGAGCAACCAGCTCAACGGAGGGCACCCGGAAGCCCACCTCGGCGGCCCCAGCCGTTCCTGCGGCGCCCTCTGCCGGCTTGGCTCCCGCAGCTTGGACAGGCGTCTCCAAACTGAGGGGTCCGGGCAGGCGCAGCTCCACGGAGGGCAGAGTGAGCGAGGGGGCCCCCGCACGGGCCTCACTCCCCTCCTCCGGCTGCAGACAGGGCAGCGGCAGCAGTTTCCCTGGACCCTGGGCACCTGCCTCACCCAGCTTGCCTCGCAGAGTTGGAGACTCTGCCCTTCCTAATTTAGGCATGGTCATCTTGGGCATCTTGAAGCCAAATTCTATCCCTTCAGCCTGCTCTGGCCTGGCAGATGTCAGCTGTACCTCCGGGGGCTGAGGCAGCTTCAGCTCTGGGACCTCAGGGAGACACACCTCAGGGACCTTGGGCACCTGGAGCTCTGGCAGTCGAATCTCTGACACCTTCGGCAGCTGTACCTCCGGGAGTCGCACATCAGGCACGGCTATCTCAGGCACCTTGGGGAGTTTCATTTCTGGAAGCTTCATCTCAGAGACTTTCGGTAGCTGCACCTCCGGGAGCTTCATTTCTGGAAGCTTCATTTCTGGAAACTTCATTTCTGAAACTTCGGGCAGCTGCACTTCTGGGAGCCGCACATCAGGTACAGCCATCTCGGGCACCTTGGGGAGCTTTATTTCTGGAAGCTTCATCTCAGAGACTTTCGGTAGCTGCACCTCTGGGAGGTGCACATCCGGCACGGCCATCTCAGGCACTTTGGGCAATTTCATTTCTGGAACCTTTGGCAGCTGTACCTGTGGCAGGTGCACATCCGGCACAGCCATCTCAGGCACCTTGGGGAGCTTCATTTCTGAAACTTTTGGCAGCTGTACCTGTGGCAGGTGCACGTCGGGCACAGCCATCTCAGGCACCTTCGGGAGCTTCATTTCTGGAACCTTCGGCAGCTGCACCTCTGGAAGGTGCACGTCAGGCACGGCCATCTCGGGCACCTTGGGCAACTTCATTTCTGGAAATTTCATCTCACAGACTTTGGGCAGTTGCACCTCGGGCAGTTGCACATCAGGCACGGCCATCTCAGGCACCTTGGGTAGCTTCATCTCAGGGACTTTGGGCAGCTGTACTTCCGGGAGCCGCACCTCAGGCACAGTCACCTCAGGCATTTTGGGGAGCTTGACATCAGGAGCTCTGGGGAGTTTCACTTCTGCCCCCTTGGGCCCCTTGACCTCAGGCCCCGACACCCCGATGCCAAAGGCAGGCATCTTGATGGTTGGCAGCTTTAGCTTACTTTCTGTAGTGGCTTCCGGTGTGGCCCGGGACTCCAGGAGGGAAAGGCCAAAAGTGGGCATTCGAAGTCTGGGCCCCTTGGCCTTGGCCTCTGGGCTGCCCTTGGCCACCTTGGCCTCAACAGTATCCTTCGCTCGAGCCCCGAAGCGGGGGAAGCTGAGGCGGGGCATCTTCAGAGCCACCTCAGGCACCTCTGCCCGGGCCTCCACCTCTGCACCCGGCAAGGCCAGGTCCACACCCACAGCAGGTGCTGCCACATCCAGGATGGGCACGGTCACGGCCGCAGCCCCTTCCCGGGCCTCTAGGCAAGGAAGTGTGGGCAGAGTAGGCAGGGAGGGCAAGGCAGGCAGCTCTACCTGGGGAAGCTGGATCCCTGCAGGAGGAGTCTCCACGGCAGGTGCAGCCAGGGCTCCCAAGCCGAGGGCTGGAAGGAGGGTGAAGCTGCTGGCCACTTCTGCTGAGGGGGGCCCTTTGGGAGCTGGGACCTGTGGCACACTTGCGTCAGCACCTGGCAACCGGGGCCCAACCAACTCCACCTGGGGGGCGGCAAAACGGGCTCCTGCTGCCCCCTCCTCAGCCTCCACCTTGACCTTCCTGGGGGGAGGGGCCGCGGCAGCCAGTCGAGCTGCCTGGGCTCCTTGGGCCACTTCCCGCACACGTAGCCGAGGCAGCTGGAGGCGTGGGCGGGCAGGGGCAGCAGGGACGGGCCCCTCGAGGGTCTCGGCTTTGAGACCCCGGCGCAGGCGGGAGAACTTGGGGAAGGAGAACTCGACGTCAACAGGGGCCAGATCTGCGGGGGACCCAAGAACCCCAGGCATCATCATCTTCTTCTTCTTCACAGGGGAGAGACTCTGGATATTCTGGGGAGAGAGGAGAGAGGCGGGAGGCGGTGGGACAGAGGGAGGCCCAGAAGGGAACGGGAGCTGCCCCATCTGGCATTTGTACCAAATTGGCGGCTATGTCAAACAGCCCGCTCAGCTCTCTTTGGTAGTGGTGGGGACGATGTCCCTCTTGGATGGGTGGAGGGCCCTGATGTGCGGAGAGTGGGTCCCCCTCCCCAGGGAGGGCTGCCAGGGTGAGGGAGCTGGGATTAGCACCAGTTAATGACAAGACACAGGGCAAGACTGGCACCCGGTGGGAGAGAGTTGGGACTCAGGGTATAGACGCAGCATCACCAGAGCAGTCCAGGGCCGGGACCGGGCTAAGCACGCGTACCAGCTTGGCCACCTTGGCCCGCGGGCCCTTGATCTCGTAACCGGCCACGGTGCCGGGCCGCAGCGCCAGGTCCCCGGTGGGCACAGTGCGCTTCAGGCAGAAGGAGACCTTGTAAGGCTCAGCGCATTGGAGCAGGCGCAGTGCATCCTCATACTTGACGTTTTCAAAGAACACGCGGGCGCTCAGCAGCTGGTCCCCTGGAGGTGGGTGAGGGGAGGTGGGCAGGGCGTGAGCATCTCCCAGGGCCACTGAGCCTGGCCCAGCTTACCTGCCTCAGAGCCACACCCCTAGCCAGGCCTTGCCTCCATAAACCCCAGGCTTGATCTTCAGGCTCCTGGCCATCTCTCTCCTGCAGGTAACTCTCTCAGGTGGCTCTCTCCCACATAGCACTCAGGTTCTGAGCCAGTAGCTCCACTCTCACTTCAACGTTCTCTGGATGTTGGTGATGTGCTGCCTGCCGTGTCAGCATCCCATATGAGAGTACCTGCCTGAGGCCTGGCTGCCCTGCCGTGGATCCAGCTCACTTCAGCTAAGACACACCTGGGAAAGCAGCGGAAGATAGCTCAAGTACTTAGGTCCCTAGAACAAACGTGGGAGACCCAGTGTCCTGCTTCCACCTAGTCCCACTCTGGCAGGTGCAGCTATTTGGGGAGTGATGAAAGTGGATGGAAAATCTGTCACTTTGCCTCTCAAATAAAATAAACCTATCTGTGAAAAGTTGCCCAGCTGTATCCTGACCAATCCTGAAGGCTCCCCTGCCAGTCTACACAGAATCCAAGTCATCACCTCTAGTGCCCGTCCTAAGCATCCCTGTCACAGAGCCAGACCATCACAGCAGCTGCCTCCTGAGTCTCTGCTCACAGTCCTTACCCCTGCGGTTGCTAACCCAGCAGCTCACGAGCCTTCCAATAATCAAAGCCAGAGCCCTCACCCCTACCTGTAAAGTCCCCCTTTCCCTGGCTTCTCTTGGCTCTTCCCCCACCCTCCTCTTCCTCTTCTTCCTCCTTGCTAACTATTGCAGCCACAGTGGCTCCTGGCCCCTCCCTATGCACCACCCATGGCCTCTGCCCAGGTCCTTCCGATGACCACACAGCTTGTTTCACGCTCCTCTGAAGCCCCCCCACCCTCCTCACCCGCCCCCCACGCACCTGGAGCAGCCATTCCTTTCTAACTCACTAGTTCTTTGGGTTTCAACCTCTTTCCCCCACCAGAATGGAAGCCAAAAAGAATAGGGACTGGTGTTTGTGGCGTCTGCTGTGGTAACCCAAGCACCAAAAGCAATGGTAAAAATAGAAGGTACTTCATACATACTTGTTGCAAGAATAAATTACACGCTTCCTAAAAAGTGCCTACTCCACCCTTTTACTCCAGCCCCAACAATAAAAGCAGTTACTTAGCCCCTCCATGGTTCTTGCTGTGTCCTTGAGCAATGTACTGTTTTCAAATACCAACTCGCTTCCTCCGCGTAGTAACCCCATAAAGTCAGTGCCAGTGACTTCCCAACTGAGGCACAGAGGTCGGGAACTAATGAGCGGGGCACCTGGGCGTCCAATTAGGGGCATCAACCTCTGGGAACCAGTTCCTAACAGCCACAGTGCCAACAAGGCTCCACTCCAAGGCCTTAACCCCGCCTCCAAGTCGCGGAGCACGCCCCCACGTCGTTCCCGCCTATCACCGGGCTTCAGACTGCTTCCTAGCCCCGCCCCACAGCCAGGCCCCACCCATCTAGGCGGCTCCGTCCCTCAGCCCGGCCACGCCCCCACGCCTTTCCCACCTCCCCGGGGGCCAAGGGCTGCTCCGTAGCCCCGCCCCCGCAGCCCCGCCCCGCCCCGCCCCGCCCATCTAACCCCGCCTCAGCAGCCCGGCTTCGCTCCGCCCATCTACTCCCGGCCCCGCCCCTCGCGGCCCCGCCCCGCCCACCTTCCTGCAGGCTGAGGCTCCGGGCGGCCGGCGAGTCCTCGCGCAGCTCTCGAACGAAGAGGCCTTCTTTGCCGCCTCCCGCCACGTTGATGCCGCTGACTCCGGTCTGCGCCTCCGTCTCCACTATGATCTCCACCAGCTCCGTCCGCCTCAGCTCCTGCGGAGGGCAACCACAGGTTGCCAGCGGCGCCGGGGTCGGCCCTCGCTCGGGGTCCTCCCTGGGGGTCCGGGCCCACGCCTCCTGCAAGCGGGCCACTGGCGCTCGGGGGGGCCTAGCGGGAACTGTTAAACGGGTTGATTGACACTCCAGCCTCTTGGAGCCCCCCGGGGACTGCGCATGTAAGGGGTGGGGCTACAGGGAACCTCAGTTTGAGTGACCCCCTGGGGGCGGGGTCAGGTCATAGGCATGGGCGGGGCCAAGTGGAATATAGCTCAGTCAGTTCAGGCAGGAGTTTGTGAATAGTTAATTTGGAGCTGGGGCAAAGACCCATATTCCAAGGGTGCGATTATGCCGTGGCGGGTGGGGGATGTTGAGGCTGGCATTTGAGAGAAGGGCTGGTCCCTTAGGCGATGCAGGACGGGAGAGTGGGGAGTGGGATTCGCCTGTCAGCAGGCTAGAATGTCTGTGAGAGTGTGGGCGTTCTGTTGCGGACCCTGTGACCTCCCCCCGAGACCAGCGTGCTGCCCACAGGCGAGGGAATCCAATGGGAGGGGGCGTTGCGTGGGTCATGAATGGTGGACTGACAGAGAGGCATTCCTGGCATTTGCTATACGCGGTGTAAGAGAGACTGGGCCCAGCAGTACACTGTGGGATGCGCAGAAAGGGGGCAGAAGCCCAAGGGGTTCTTCTCTCTGGGACTCTAGCTTGCTGTGTCCTCCAGGGGAGAAGTTGGCCCTCTCTGAGTACAGTGAGCATCACAGGGGGGCCCCTGGAAGGAGTTTCTGGGATGTCACCAAGAGATACTGTCAGGGGCTGGCACAGATGCAGTGAGTCCAGAGCTCAAATGGGGAGAGCCAGATGTCCCCAGCAGTGGCCCCAAGGCTTGAGGGGGGAGGAGTGTGGTACTGTGTTTGATGCGGTGGTTAAGACACTCAGGACCTGCATCGCGCATCTTAGTGCCCGGGTTCCAGTCCCAGCTCCTGCCCCTGTACCGCTGGGAGGCAGCAGGTGAAGGCTGGAGTCCCAGGGTCCCTGCCACCCACGTGGGAGACCCAGATTGAGTGTTCAACTCCTGGCTCTGGCCACTGTGGGCATCGGCAGAGGGAATCAGGATGGAATATCTGTGTGTGTCCATCTGTCCCTCTGCCTTAAAACAAATGAAAAAAATATATATGTATATATTTAAATAAAGAGTGGTCTTCAGGGATGCTGGGACAGCACGGCCTTCTCTGTCCCCTTTGGCTAAGACCCTGGGGTGCCCCTCATGGGGGCAGCATCTCATTTCATCCTCCCTTAAAGTAGCCCCAGCAGACGCCATGGGAAGGTCCAGAGAGGTGAGGGAACTTGCCCAAGGTTGCACAGCAAGTTCTCAGTGACTTCAGATCCCCTGTGAGCTGTTGTTGAAAAGTAGCAACCTTTTTGCCTGCTGCCAGCCAGCCTCAGCCTGTCTCCTCTCGACCTGTGCACACTGTGGCATGTGCCCGGCACACAACAGGACCCTGCCAAAGCCAAGGCTAGCTCCATCACAGGGGACAGCAGGCAACGCTCAGGGAGACTTGCGCGGAGTCTTCAGAGGCAGGGACTATTGCTTCATCTCACCCATGGGAGTCCTGGAGAGTAGAGGTCTCCTGCCCAGGGCTGCACAGCTGATGGCTGCTGGGGGCTGAGGCCCATGCAGCTCAGCCCATGTCCTCAACCACTACGCTGTACTGCCTGCCTGCTTTTTCCAGCAAGCAGTGCCTTGGCTCGTTTTTGTTTGTTTGTTTGTTTGTTTTGTTGTTTTGTTTTTAAAAGGGGAGGTCTCCTCTGTGGGAGACAGGGACCCAAGCACTCAGGCCATCTTTCTCTGCCTTCCCGGATACATCAGCGAAGAGCTGGATGGGAAGCGGAGCAGCCAGGATTCCAACCTGCACTGTGATGTGGAATGACGCTGTTGCAAGTTGGCAGCTGAACCCGCAGCCCCACAGCACTGGCCCCTGTGCAGCCCAGAGGAGCTAGAGTATTCCCCCTTGCTCACCTCGGCACTCCGGCTCCTGGCCTCCATGGCACCCCCGGAAGTCTCCTGTGCCTCCGGCTGCTGCTCGCTCTCCCGCTTCTGCTGCAGAATCAACTTCAATTCTGCATGGAGCAACTGCCTCTGGGCCTGTGTAGGATGGGCATGGAGGCTTGAGACCAGGACTGGGGAGCGGGTGGTGCAGCATTTCCCCCACCCCCCGCGCCACAAACACACACACACACACACACACACACACACACACACACACACACACTTCCCCACTCTGCTTTCCTCTCACCACTGCCTGGGCGCAGGCACTCCCTCCCAGCAGGAGCCCGGCCGCAGGGGCCACGCAGCTGTCTGCTGGTCTAGTGTCCTTCCTCTGGGGTCTTGCTGTCTGTCAGGGAGAGACAGGGTGGAGAATTTAAGGCTGGTCTCCAGGCTCCAAGCCAGGGAGAGCAGAGAGGGATGGGGCGTTGTGCTGGCCAAGGACACTCACCTGGGGCTCACTCCTTCTGGCTCTGTGTGCCTCCTGGGTCCGGGGCTCTAGGACAATGTCATGAGGCAAGTTCACTATAGAACGATGCTAACTACTCACTCCCTCACAGCCAGGTGGGCATATCCCCTCTCCACCTTGGTCTCGAGGTGGACAGATGAAGGGCGCCTGTCTGCCTCACGGGGCTGTGGTGAGGACACGGGCATGAGGTGCCAGACTCTGAGCACCTGTCCTTCCATTCCTTCTTCTCAAGAGCTTCCTAGGAACTAGGAACCCCACCTTGTGTCCAACGCCACCCTCCTGCTCCCCCCACACCACCCCCACCATGGGGCATGGATGGCACATGGACTTCAGAATGGCCTGTGCAGTCAGGGCTGTCACTGAGCCACTGTGACAATAAAACCCTGCACCTGCCCAGGTAACAAATGGCTGCATCAGAAGCTCCAGCCCTTGACAGTGATGATGATGATGATGCGTGGGTACAGAGATGGTACGATTTGCTCCAGCCACCACTGCCACAACTCCCCACCCCTTGGCCCCAGAGACCCAAAGATTTTATGTGGCTGTGGCAAGGAGCAAGCAGAGCCAGGGCTGTGCACACTGCCCCCCTGCCAGGCCCTTCTGGGGTGATGAACGTAGACATGGCCCCCTGCCCCGACTCTGGGCTGTCCCCGGCCCCCACCTGGCATGCCAAGCCGCCACCCCCTCCTGCACCGGCAAAGGTCAGGCCTCACGCGGCGCATTCCCTCACACAATGGCCTTCACATCCCACCCCCTGCCCACCCACCCGCAGCCCCACAATGGCCCTTCAGAGCCTGCTATAGGCCAGGACAGGGAACACACAGGCCCCCTCTTTCCCCAGCATTGCTCGGCTCCTCTGGGCATTTCTAGGAGTCCTGGTCTCTGTCTCCTTCCTCCAAGACCCCCCAGTGCCTCCAAGGAGGGCCGACTCCCATGTCTGAGCCTGGCACGGGTACCCATCAACCTCACCCTGGCACACGGGCGCCATTTCAGGGCTGGAGATCAAGGCTCAGAGAGGGACAAGTGACTCATCCAGGGTTCTTCAGCTAGCAAAGGGTACCTTCACCTGCCCTTGGTAGCTCTGACACAAAGATGACCCCAAACCCCGACACAGCTGGGCTGGGCTGGGAGGCCACCAGCAAAGGTGCCAAGAGGGCCCTTGTAGGTGGCTAGGCCTGGCAGACTGGCATCTAGGGGCCTCCATTTGTTGGGAAAATAAATGAGAGTTCAGAGACGGGGCTACCTACAGTGGGGGGGACAGATGCTAACCCTGGGTTGACAAGCGAAGTCTCAGTCTCCTAACCATCATGTGATACAGCCTGGGGCCCTTGCTGGTCACACCCAGAGCTTGGCACAGGAAGTCCAGCAGGGCAGGGACGGGGTGGCAGGGCGGAGAGGGGGTTGACAAGCCAGCGCCCTCCTTCCTTGTCCCTGCCCAGGACAACAGCCCAGCCCAGGTTATATTTAGCCCAACTGTGCCCTTCCTGAGCCACGTTCCTGGCTCCTGGGGAGGAGGAGGGGCAGCTTCGGAAGGAAACCTCCCCCCAACAGCACTCCCTGTTCCCAGCGCTGCCCATCCCGCCAAGCAGCAGGAAGAGGTCAAAGGATGCTCCCAGGCACCCCCCACCCTACACCCCACCCCTCACCCCGTCTGCTCCAACCTGTGCGAAGGCACGGTCAGCCCCTGCCCTGGAACCTGTTGGACGTTCCTGAGTCCCCTGTCTCTTGAACAGTTACTTGAGCTAAGATCCCTCCCTGCCTGGGAACAAGTGCTCCCTGGGGAGGGGGGGAGGGGAGGCGGGAAGGGTTGGAGCAACAGGTGCACCTGTGCCACCCATCCAAGAAGTGACTCAGACCCTTCCCGCTTTGGCTGCCGAACCTCAACTTCCCTAACCACCAGGGAGCCAGTGCCCGTGAGCTGTGACACCTAGACAGTGGGATGTTGATGGGGAGGTCTCAGAGGAGCAGGTATAAGGCAGTAGCCCCCGGCCGCCTCAGTTACTCCCTGTTCCAGCCAGGTGTGAGTTCTTGGCTAAGGTCCTTCACTCCTGGGGGCCTCACTCTGTAAAATAAAACCAACGAAGGCTAGGTGCGGCAACCTAGCAGCTAAAGTTCTCGCCTTGCACACACCAGGATCCCATATGGGCACTGGTTCTAATCCTGGCAATCCCGCTTCCCATCCAGCTCTCTGCTTGTGGCCTGGGAAAGCAGTTGAGGATGGCCCAGAGCCTTGGGACCTTGTGCCCACATGGGAGACTCAGAAGAAGCTCCTGACTCCTGGCTTTGGATTGGTACAGCACTAGCCATTGTGGCCACTTGGGCAGTAAATCAATGGAAGGAAGATCTTCCTCTCTGTATCTCCTCCTCTCTGTATATTTGACTTTCCAATAAAAACAACAAAAAAAAAATTTTTTAATGGAGCCTACAAGAGTGATGGGTGTGAGCTAACAGCAGGTACCCAGAGCGTCCCCAGCATAGGCAGTCCAGCACTAAATTGACACCAACTGGACTCTGGCAGCAAAAGGGAAGGTGCAACTCCCACATTCCCCTCAGCCAAAGACACAAAACATGTGTCAGGCACCAGCCTTCTACCGGGAGGTTCAACACTCCCCCACCCCACAGTCCTCACTCCCCCTAACAGCAGCCTCATCCAGATCCCAGAAAGCTGGTTCCGTGCAAGTCTCCTGCACCAGCAATGTTTAAGCAGTCGCTCATTTACTCTCAAGCCAGCCCAACAGGGTGCCCTCTATCAGCCCATTTTAGAGACAGTCAAGTGGAGGCCCAAAAAATATCATATCATGTCCCAGGCAGCATTGCCAGAAAGAGTGACTGTCTCCCCAAATCTGTACCTTCCACATCCCCCACCACCCCGCCTCCTGAGCCCCAGGCACTCCCACCCTGCCCTCCACCCCAGAACCTTTCAGGACCCTGGGTCTCAGTTGCAGGGCTCCCCATCCTGACCAGAGAGAGCCAGGGGGCTAATCCCTTACCGCTGGGGCCTCCAGACACCTCCAAAGTGCTCCCTGGTCCGTCTGCTCAGCCTGGCCCCTAGACTGGGGGGGAAAAGGAATGGGGAGGGGGAGGAGGGGAGACCCCAGCCATTGGCTGCCGAGGGATGATGTCACCGGAGGGTGGGTGGTGGGGAAACAAACATCCCCTTCTCCCATCCGCAAGGGCGTGGGGACTGCAAGATGACCGCCTCTGTCCAGCCTGGGTTGAGACCTCCACCCCACGTCCTCCTCCAGGGGTTTCTCGTGGCCACTACCCCACCCACCGCCCCCTGCCCTGCCTTGGAGACAGCCCCTCCACTCATCCCACCCCTATCCTGTCTGAATTGCCAGATCCCAGCATAGCCCTGGCATTGTGGGCTTCCCCCAAGATAAACTCTTTTCTCTCCTTCTCCCTGCCAATGTGGGTTCCAAGGCCAGCCCAGCTACTCCTTCCTGCGTGACCTGGGGTGAAACAAGTGCCTTCCGGGTCTCAGTTTATCCATCTCTAAAATGGGAGCAGTGGGATTGCCTGAGCCTCATGGAGCTGCGAAGACAATTCAGTGAGTTACAAGAGGCCGAAAGTACACAGCGTTTCCCCTTGTTGGGTCACATGCTGGCCTGCGTTACCATGCAAACCAAGCCACCGGCCATTCTGACTGGGGGACGGAGGGATTTTGATCCCTTGTTGGTGAGGCTGGGCGTAGGGGGATCCGATTCTCTGACATCTGGGTGTTGGAGCAAGGTGAATCTTCCTTATGCTCTGAGTCCAGCTGAAAGAGGCTGGGGGTCTGCAGGGTGGTACAGCTGGTGGCCCACCCAAAAGATCTACCCTCCTCATCCTCCATCCCCTGCTATTCCACAGCAAAGGAGAAGTTACTCACCCCCACCCCAAAAGCAAATGATCAACAGGGGCCCAACTCAGCCTGCACCTACCCGAGTCCCCAAGACCACCTGCCTTACCCCCAGCCCCCAGCCTGCCCTGACTCACCAGAGCCCGGGGGACGGCACAGGGAGCACAGGTACCCCCACATGCCCTCGGAACCCACCCAGTTGCTGTCTTGAATGCTGGCGACTCTCTGAGCCAGGGCCTGGGGCCGGAGCTGGGGTGGGGCTGGGGGATTACCCCCAAAGCCTGTGTCAGCAGCTTCTGTCCCATTGTCCAGCTGTGGACATGGATGCTGGGTCCTCAGCCTGGCCGGAGCCCTCACACCAGCTTAGGGATGAATGGAAGGGTGGCTCTGGGGACTTACCCCCAACTCTCCTGTGGAGGGGCTGGGGCCTACTTCGGTGAGCATGGGGGTGACCAGGAGCAAGAGGGCAGGAGCCCGGAATGCCAGGGGGAGTCTCCCCCCTTGCTCTCCCAAATGCCCCCTGCCCACTCCCAGGCACCAGGCAAGGCAGGAATGTGCTGAACTCTGGGAAACGCCTTCCAGGCCTGGCAGCCACCAAGAGCAAGGGCGGGGCCGGAAGCCAGGCAGCGCCCTGCACCCGAGAGGGGGAAAAGGAACTGTAAAGCAGAGACCACCTCCCTGTACTCACTA